GAGTGCTCCCCCCGAAAATGGAGCTTCATCAGTCTGTGAAAGGATATGATCTGACTCACAAGAGACAAACTGTCCCTACCTTGAGAGTCTATAATCTACAATTTTCACGTGGTTACCTGAAACACTCTTTCTTTTTTTATTTCATCTTTGCTGATGACACAATCAGCATGTCATGATTGCTGTTCCACCGTATCTGTTATGTCTGTAATAGAGGGATGTATTAACCTGTGTTAGTCTGAATTCAAGTAGAAGGCAGGGTAGATTTGCTCTTTATAGCCACATCCCATATCAGCAGTTGTAGTTCCTGCATCTTTTTGACCATGCTCCCTGTGCTAATCCATAAACTTGACATCACCCAGACTCTTAGCCAGATTAGGTGCAGACCTTTCACTAAACGTATTCCCTACCTTGGAGTTGCAATTGTCGATATTAATACATCTTTTCTCTTCGCTGCCCATCCTATTGCCCCCCACCCAATAGTGTTTTATCTATAACTGAATCCTCATTTTCCTGATTTTCCTGTATTTTAGAGCCTTGTTACACGTTAATTTTAGGTGGCTTCAGGAGCTCTTAACCCCTGGATTTTCCACACACTAACACCTGAAACTAGTTTTAAGCACACTTCAGGGAGTTTAAAGTTACGCCACTCCAGAGCAGAGCAGGTTTATCTCTGACTTGTGTTACTCAGCTCATGTTCCATTAATCTCCCCACAGATGAGCCACCCATGTTGCAGTCCTACAGCATCCCAGAATGCATGCAGTGTTCCCTCCCCCACCCTCCTCTTCTGTGAGGACAAACTTTCCACCCCCTAAACTCTACTGCCTAGGACAGAAGCGGGGGGGGGGGGAGTTCTAGCATCAAGCCAAGTCCCCCTCCCACCTCTGATGGTGTGACCCTCCCACCCATAGGGGTGCAACATCATGCAAACAGCCTGCAGAGCACGTGCCAACTGGCCAGGCCATAGGGCATGGATGGGTCCAGGATTGGGGTCAGTGCAGCGGTGGGGGGAGAATAAGTTAGGGGGCTGAACTAGGGCTTTCTTACTGGGGAGGAGCAGTAGCTTCCCCAAAAGCACCTTCCCTCACTGCTCCCACCTTCCAGCTACCCCCCCATCCCAGTTTATTAAAACATGAGATCTTCTTTAATGTACTTCCTCTTTCTTCCTTTACTTCTTTTTATTTTATCCTTCAATGGCTGACTTCCTTGATTTCACCACCCTTCCCCCACCCCCATTCCCTTTCCACCTCCCATTTCATTACTCACCCCCCCATCCCATCAACGTTCCCCCTCCCAGCTTCATGTTCCTGGCCCCCTGGATCCTCTGCAATGCACCTCCACCTATAACGGATAAAAGCCTTGCAGTGG